GTCAGAAGAGCTGCTATAATAATATGCCTGACATCTACTAGCTATCAGTATAGAGATAGAATGATCAGTATCTGATATTCAATAGATCTCATATCCAGTTCTTAGTCTTCTGTCAGTACTCTTAGTCTCTTTCTGCAATATCCTGAGATGATGAGATGTGTAGTAAAATCTAGATCTGATGAGACACATATAGATATATGAGTGTAAACCAGTACGCTCAACTATTAAAGATGTTGGAAGTGGTAGAGGGGGCTGCGCAAGCAGAAAAGCGAGCGTAAGCGAGCATTTGATGCTTGTCTATAATGAAAGAATAATAATACTAATAATAATAATATGAAATACAGTGTGAATTTCTGCCAAGATTTGTGGCACTGTCTAGCTGTCTTTTTGCCGGCGCAATTCTTTTGATAGCGCCCTCCGTACGGAGTAACTACTCCGTTCTCCGTACCGTACCCCGAGATTGGCTCTCGGCCTAGTCCAGTCGTCCTGCAAGCAAGCCTACCTATGCTTCATGATTTCACATTGTCATGAGCAGTGCTGTTATTCCAGCATCAACTCCTCCCCAGAACTGATCTTGAGGCGCTGATCTTGCTTACGAGTACGAAGTGCTTATTTTCGAACCTTGCTGGTTTCTGTTGACTACCAGGGGCTATGGACCAACTCACTCATCATTTGCTTGACAGAGAAGTCAAGAAGTTTATCAATTCAATTGATCCAGCTCTGGTCTGCAAATTGGCTACATTTTTGCATCCCGAGAAGAAACTTTGCCGGGTTTTCTCAGAACCAAAGAAGGGGAGCTACAATATCTGCTTTCCTATCCTCTTTACGAACACAACCACAACCAATCCAACACCAGATGACGAGTTGACCGAGCCTGCCGAGCCTGTTGAACGATGGATGGTCCGAATTCCCCTGCTACCGCGTCTTGCATTTCCCGAGGAGAAAATGCGAGGTGAGATTGCAACAATGAAGTAAGAAATTTGGACAGTTGTGTTTTGTGTTTGCAGTCAGTGTCTAACAGTGTAATCCTATTATGTAGGTATATTGCTGAGAGGACTACCATCCCTATCCCTCATCTCTTCGGATATTCCATCAACCGAGATAACATCCTTGGCCTTCCTTTTTTAGCTCTGGAGCACATTACAGGAAAAACTCTTCACGGAACTGATGTGCCGCGTCTTTCAGATGAGTTGCAGTCACATTTATTCAATCAACTTGCAGAAATCTACCTCCAGCTCTATCAACAGCAATTCGACCATATTGGTGCTTTCACGCTCGATAGCAACGATGAGAATTGGATTTTTGAACACAATCGGCCGCTCACTATTGAGCTAAATGATCAAGAACTCAGTGGCATGCAGGGTTCTGAGATTATGCCCCCCAAGCGGACCTATTCTTCTACTATTGATTATGTGTTCACTATCCTGAAATTGATTTTCAACGACTTTCACCGCGGGAAAGATAGTGTTTTCAATGAAGAGGATGCACGGAACTATCTATATGGTATATTTGCTTCCCAAGGCATTGTAATGGAATGGGTTAAGCACAAGGACAATCATGGACCATTCATCCTTATGCATGGTGATCTTCGACCTTCAAACATCTTTGTGGACAATGATCTCAACATTGTTTCAATCATTGACTGGGAGTGGAGCCACACCATTCCTCTGCAAATGTTCCTCCCACCCTCCTGGATTACGGGCCAAGAGCTCCCTGCTGCCACTAAAAGGCCCTACACCTTTGCATTTCAAGTATATGTTTCCCGCTTTGAGCAAGCTGTGATGGAGAGAGAAGACACACATTATAACCCGGGGCAAAAGATAAAATATATTCTTCCCATAGTCATGCGCCTGTCAGAGAACTTACTGTCAAGGAATATGTTCATTGCATATGCACTCTTGAAGCCTTGCTATTTTGGGAATGTGTACTGGAATCTGTTGGATGAGGAATATTATGGAAAAGACAAGAAGCAGAGAGTGGAAACATTCTTTAATCTTAATCTGCGGAAACCGCAAGTGGAAGCCTTACAGAAAACAATGTCCGAGCTTAAGGATTTCAAGAAAGAATTAGCACTGGCAGGACTAGAACCGATCGAACCCGACCCCATCCCAGTTCCCGAACTAGGAAAACAACCAGAGAACCCGAAATTCATGTCCAAGATTCGTGGCCTCGCAGATATCCGTCAATTATGCCGACGATCCGACATTGCAAGTGTTATTGGGTCCCTCCCTTCTTGGATACCTTGGTCACTGGCTGGTATCAGTCTCTCCGCATGCTGCATCATGGCCAAACTGCGACATTGAATTGGAAAGATTACCTTTTAATTGTTTTATTCAATTCCCCTGCTGCGACAGCAACGTGATAGCCTGCTGCAAGACAATGATCCTTCCTCTGATCGCGTCCAATTCCGCTTCATGCTCCCTCATTTCCTGCTCAGGAGTCAAAGTTTCCTCGAGATCACGCAACCCCCGCGACTTTTGGGCGCTGGAAGAAAGTAATTTTAACTCAGGAACCCGGCCTTGCAGAGATTTAACAAACTCTTCCAGCTCTAATGCCTTTTGTCGAAGCTGCTGTTGCTCTGCAAGTTTCGATTTAAGTTCGTCGTTAATGTCATCGGATAGGGACATCTTATTTTGGGAGGCCATTTTGTTTACGCTTGTGTACAAGGAGCAGATCAGCATTATGCAAGATATAGCTCTAGAATAGATGCGAAATCCTTACATAGGAATCTCCTTTCTCTCTCCTAAGATCACTTTATATCTCGGTTTTGGAGCTCTTGTGGAAAATTATTGAACGAGAGCAGCATATCTATCGCACTTTTAAGGCAGGAGAACTATTACATTACCCCTCTTCTTCCAACGCTCCGATGCCAGCACATCTAACAAGGACCAAGCGGTGACCGGCCAATGGAGCAAGATAGATATTCCGGCGTGCATTGTTGCCTAATCTGAGGGCCTTGGGCCAAAGATGTGTGCTTGATGGCTTCTCAAATTTCGCTTGGTTGGTTCCCATCTGCAGGAATAGCGTGCTTTATTCTAACCAGATACACTGGCTAATGGCGAGGTTTTCGACAAGGGGCTGCCATTTGACGTGCAATGACGCTCAGCAGGGGGCATCCGTGGAATGGCCGCCTTCTTTGGCCGCTTCGGAAGCAACCAAAGCTAATTATTTTAAGGTGATCAATGACGACATGTAGCTCACCACTCAACGAGCCAAATTTTTACACCATTAAATTCCTTCAACGTTCAACTTCAACGCGTAATATCATGGTCAACAACGAAGCGATTAAGCTCGCGATTGACGATCTTGAATCGCAGAAGAAGCCAAATTACTCTGTGACCGCGAAGAAATAGTCAATTAGCCCAGAAACCTTGCGCCGGCGGCATAAAGGCCTGTAACTCGATCGCCATGAAGCAACCTCCTGGTATAAGAAAAAGCTCACTGATATACAGAAAGATAAGCTCCTAGAGTATATAAACAAGCTCTCTGACCGCGGCTTTGTCTCTACACCCTAGATTCTGCGAAATATTGTGCAAGAGATGACGTTTGACGAAGTGGGAGTCAACTGGGTGAATTGCTTTGGCGAGTAGCATAACAACAAGATCAAATGCGTTTACCTCAAGGCCCTTGATAAGAATAGACAGGTAGCAGATAATTACCAGTGCTTTAAGCACTTCTACGCGCTTGGAATTTGATGATTATTATGTTAATTTGCAAATGTAGTTGTTGAATTTGGCTAACTAGTTGAGCGCGTTATTATTATTATTATTCTTCAATTATAGATGTATGCAGTCAGAGACTATGACATCTACCTGAAAACTTTTAGTTCTCAGAGTTTTTCTAATATCTATAAAGTCAACTATTATACATTTATCAATTTCAGATATACAAAATCAGAACATTTCAGCTCAGAATATAAAAACTCTTTACAAATTGCAGTATTTTAACACCTTCTGATACTTTGAAATCATTTAGAAATATCATGACAAAAGAGAAGAGAGCAAAGTCTTAAAGATAGATATATTAAATAAGTAGATAGAAAAGAACAGAAAAGAAAAGAAAAAGTACAGTAAAGAAAGTGTAAAAGGTGTAAAGCTTGTGTAATTAAAAGATTACTAGCTTATAAGAAGTTATATGATGGAAGAATTAGTAAGCCAGATCACATGACCTCACACTCTCACTTATCAGAGTAACTATACATGATACTACATACAAAATTCACCTTCAAATCAAGTACTGATACAAAAAATAACTGGAAAATATATAATAATGAAAAATCAGTCATGAGATACATTATTTTTTAATTCTTGATCTTCATATTCTTCTTTCAACATGTATATTTCAATGTTTTAAGTGACTTAGTAAGCTCATTCATCAGATTCTCAGCAGATGAAATATATTAAATTAATATCTTATTCTTACAGACAAGATTCTGAAGAATGTGAAAATAAACCTCTATATACTTTGAGTAGTATGAAATTGCTTCAGAAGAGAATAGCTCTATAATAAACTTATTATCAGTATGAATTGTATAAGTGAGATTATTAACTGTGATGAAAATGAAATAATCATCAGCATTCAGAATATTAAGATAGAATGAAATGAATTCAGTGTCTTCTAGAAGCTTATGAAGACAGATAAGCTTATATATAGTCTCAGAGAATACAATATATTCAGTCTCTGTTGATGATTTAAAGATCTTGATTTGATAGCAGCTCTGTCATATAATAAGATTATCTGTTATATAGATGATATAACTGATGATTGAACAGAATTCTGAATTTCTACTAGTTTAATCAGTATCTGCATATATCACAGATTCAATATCAGTATCTCTGTGATAGATTATATCTTTATTGATTGAACTCTGTAGATATTGAAGTGTATATTTGAATGCAGCTCAGTTCTTTGATGTAGACTCAGAGCTAAATTGTTCAAGAAATTCTGCAGTAAAGCTTACATTGAAATATGTATTAATTGCCAGATATTGCAGAGATCTGATACTGAATTGATAAAACTGTAGAGTAAATTCTACTGTGTATGTAATCAGTTTCTCATTATTATTCATGAAATCAACATTCTTCTTCATAGAAGTGAATGTAGAATGATAGTTATTCATTGAGAACTTCTTCAGAAGATTTCTTATAAAGAGAAATTAAAATAATATCAATGAAGTTAAATCTCTATTAATCTTCATTTCTAGATAGTAGTTGAAATTCTTCACATTCTTAATCTTATAATTAGCAGTGATTTCAGCTTTGACTCAGTTCAGATCAATGATTTTCAAACTGTAAAGACAGATATTATTTATGTAGATAATTATATAAATCTATCTTTCATTATGAATAAATAGTTCAGTATTATAGAAACTGACATGAAAGTCTGAGTATAATAGCATTTTTCACAGCTTCTTATATTATAAGAGTACTGCTTACTTAAGATTATAAAGTCTCTGCATCAACTTATACACAAGATTATCACAGTCTTCACAGAATTCTGGGAATTGATTTATATATATCTATTCATCAGTAGGCAGTTAAGTGTTTAAAAAAGCAGTCATCATATCAATCTGCAGAATGTATCAGCCTCAGAATACTGAGATTGTCATAAGAGCTTGAGAGATAGATGCAGAGATGACAGATGCAAAGATTTTTAAGTAATTAATTCTCTTCTGTTGATGATTTTCACAGACAACTCAGCAGGTCTTATAGTGAATAACCTCACTTATATTATTGAACTTTTTATCAAATACTTATTAAATGTGAAGAATACTTATTTGTAATATTCTTTCTATCAGTTATCAGATTTCTATCTGTTTTAAACAGTTAATCTCTTTAACACAGATCTTGTAATAATATTTTTATTTCATAGAAGCATTGATACATGTGAGGTTTTTTGAAATTAAAAGTACAGTGATCTCAGAATTGATAAATAGGTTTTTAAGACTGTTTCTCACTGTAGATTCTCTCACTGTAGTAATATCTCTTATAGATGTCAGAGAGTTATCAGATTTAACTGTGAATTCTGAGAAGTTCAGTGTATTCTACATCAAAAAGATAGATATTCTCGCGGAGATTTCATAGTCAATTCATTAATTATTAGTGAGTATAAGTAATAATGAACACTCAGGTTGAATTTTCTCATCAATGAACAGATCATCAATTGATGAATCAGAAATCACTGAAGAAATTATTATAGAAATCATTATAGCAGATAGATCTGATATCACTGAAGAAATCACTGCAGCTGCTTTACAGACTGCATTGAATAGAATCTTCAGATTGTGTGTAGTCAGTAATAATAAATTAACAAGATGAAGATTCTTCTGAAAGATGATATCTTTTGATATATATAAATACCTGTTGAAGGAGTTCATCAATCTATAATTAATAAAATCATCATATTTCACAAAAATCAACTCTTTGAAATGAGAAGCTATCTTATTAATGAGCTTAAGAACTATCTTCAAGAATGCTTTGCAACCTCATCAGTGAATACTGTGTACAGAAGAGCTTCAAGTCAGATCTTATACAGTATAATCAGCTTTGTATTTTCAGAGTTTTCATACAATACAGTTGAGATTGACATAAGGTTAAGCAGCTCTGTGACTGTAATAACTGTCTCACTCTACATCTTTTCAGAAGTGAAAGAATCTATTAATAGTGATCAGAACTTCTCAATGATTAAACTGATTAATTATTTAAATACATCATCTTACTGTGAAGTATGAAGAAGAGTCAGCTCTTATTTTATTTCTTCACTGAGTATATATACTGTGACTGTATTTAAATTCAATTCTTCACAGTCTGAGTGAATGATTGCAATGTCACATCTCAGCAGATTCTTGATCAATTGATTAAAGATCTGTAGATATCTCAACATCTCATTCTTTTATTTCAACAGAAATATTCATCTTATATAAGTGACATCAGCTGTAATCACTATTGCAAGCTTCTTATCAGTGTAAGATGATATATCATTCTCAGTTTCAAGAATTTCATCATCACTGAATATATTCACTCAAATCTTCAAGACCTTGCAGATGACATGATATGATGTGAAATTCTTGTAGAAAGTGTGTTTCTGTTTAATCTTGACACATGTGACACGGAATAATAATTTCTTCAGACTGATAATAATAATATCAAATCATGAGTCTCTAGTCATTTTTAATATACTATTTTCAGTAATATGACTAAGTCAATAATATCACTCATCTATTGAAAGCTGTTTCAGAAGAACTGCAGATAATCAAGATAAAGATAAGATAATAAAGAAATCAGTATCTGAATTCTTAGAGTTAATTAACTATTCAATCTTCTCACAGCTGAAACATCTCAAGAACTCTGCATTCAGATTATAATCTATTGAGATTGTCTGTAGTTTCAGAACAGTCATATATGTCACTGCTTCATACATTGAGTTATTTATTATATCATGAAATATCAGTGAGCTGTCAGATAGAATATAAATCTTATTATAAAACAGATTAATATAGAAGATATCACTATTAATAGATAATAGAAACTCAAAGTAGTTCTCAGTATTAATCTATATATCACAGTGAATATAGCTCTGACACTTCATAAGTTCAGTAGAGATTAGATTTGTGAATAGTTCTGACATGTAGTATACATAATTGAATTCTATCAATCTTTCACTCACTGAAATAAATACAGTGCTGACACTCTGAACCTTCCGAATGACCTTGTTAGTCACTTGAACTGTTGAACTGTTGATTGCTATAAGCTCTGAAAATCATGATCTATCACTTACAATGTGGCATTCAGTGTGACTATCTCATATAGTGAGGGAATTCTTGTGAGATTTCATGAAACAGACTGACACATTTATAATCTCTGTGAGATTTGTTATCTGAAAGATCTCTGAACTATCTGTAATAAATAGTTGAGTTCTATTCTCACTATTGTTCTTTTTCTTCTTTTCTTTGAATTTCTTTATTCTTACAGTGTTGTAGATTCTTCAATTATTCAGAGAACTGTCTGAATTAATCAATCAATAGTTATCAAAGTGAGATCTCTTACATTCAGAACATGTAGAATAATTTCCTGAATTCTGATAATTTCAGAAGCTCTCTTGAGAACTATTATAATCACATTCAGTACAGTCTTCACAGGCTGAATTCAATGTATTGTTATTATTGATAGACATTGTAACTCTTGTAGCTGTTATAGCAGAGTTAGCCGCAGAATCTGTATTCTGTAGATTCTTCTTATTCTTTGAAGAATCAAGCCGCGAGCGGATCTTCTTCATGAGAAGATCAACATTCAATATCACAGCTATGAATTTGAAATCCTGTATCTTCTCTATCTTGTTTTGAACATAATTTCTTCAATTGTTGAGTAGAACTGAGTAGAAGATATCAAATATTCACACATCTGAGAGAGAAGTATTCATCATCTTCAATTTCATGATGATGAACTAGAACTTATCAAAGAATGTGTGTAGATTGATGACCTGTGTATCACTAAGTAATATAAATTTCAGAACTGTCTCACAGTGTAACTGTGTTTTTGAGACAGAGTATTTCTGTTCAATCGCATTTCATAGAGTATAAGTGATCTGATTTTCATCATATTTAGAGAAACATGGTCTGACACCTGCACTCAATGAGTTTGAGATGAATGTATAGAGTCATCAGTTTCTGATGTCTCAGAATGATACTCATTCATCATCTCTTTATAGAGAGTTCTGTATCTGTCATTTCTCTATCATATACTAACACTGTGTATTAACCAGTTTTGCTTTCATGAAGCTGCTTCATGTGATGTAATTGAATGTGTCAGTTAGACTGTTTGATCTTACAGCATTCTTGACATTCTTCTTGAATTGAGAGATTGTCTTTACCAACACAGCTATTCAGTTCATAAAGATTGAATTTCAACCTTTCA